GCCTTGTAGGTGCCTTGGAGATTCAATGGGCGGGAGCATCTTGATCACCCTTTAGCCGAATATAGAATGTGGAAATAGGTTTTTTTTTGCGTTTGGGGGGTCGGGCGCCTGACAGACAGTTCAATGGCCTTTTCTTCCTAATGCCGAGTTCTGAAGGAGAGACAGCCTTGGGGCTGAATTGCACAGATCAGGCCAGAGCTTGCATTGGAGACTGCGCTATTGTTTTTTTGTTCCCTCTTGGCCGGCATGTAGAAACAACATATCTTTGTTCAAGTGCATAAATGGTCAACTGGCAGATGGCCGATGGCAGACCCCACGATTCGTCCAGATTGACCATCATTTCGTGACTTTATGCATCGAGAAAGGGCGGCCAATCAAAGCTCGTCGCTATACCCGTTAGAAATTAATCTATAGCTTGGGACTTGATGCGGCCTGACGCGACCGCCACCTTGCGCTGCCACCTCCAGCGCAGCTGCGGATTGGTTACCAGCAGTGCCGCACCACTTGAGCATATGTACATGTAAGCAGCAGCAGCCTGAGGGCAAGGGCAGGGCAGGGGCAAGGGGCCATTTGGTTGTCCATCAATGTCTTCCAGACATCGCGTCGCAGCTGATCAATTGACATCAATCGTCTGCAGACTTGAGCTCGCTTCATCTTCGCACTCACGCACCCCATCCCACCCTCGACTAGTCTCTTCGCCCGTCATCGCCATAGCCCATCGCAACCCCATTTCGACCCTGCAAACAACCGACTAACCACAATGTCGTCCTTCCTGCTCCGTCGTGCCGCCGTCGCCTCTGCTGGCGCTGCCCGCTCCTTCAGCACCTCCTCGCCGCGATCCGTTGCTCGCATCTCCATCATTGGCAATCTTGCTGATACCCCCGAGATCCAGCCCACCAGCAGCGGTCGCGAGATCCTCAAGTACGCTGTCGCCAGCAACACCGGCCCCAAGGACAACCGCCAGACCAGCTGGTTCCGTGTTACTAGCTTTGCCGAGGGTCCCCGAAAGGACTTCTTGCTGAGTCTGCCCAAGGGGTACGTCGCTTTGCCTGCGCTTCCTTTTGCAATCCTGCCGTTTTCACTCCCGTTGAAACTTTTGCCTGCTCGGCCCACTGCGGCGTGCCATGTTGGAGGATTCGCCTTGCTAATTATGTGAACACAGTGCCATGGTTTACGTTGAGGGTGATGCTACCATCAGCACTTACCAGGACCCCAATGGCCAAACTCGCAGTGGCCTGAATATTGTTCAGCGTACGTATCGGTGTTTCCCTTTTCCCAAGGGCCCCTCTATTGACCGATGACTACAGGCAGCATTGAAGTTCTCAAGCGACCCCAGAACGCCGGCCAGAGCGAGTAAAAAACTCTGCTCCTGACAAGATAAAACCAGCCAAGTACGGTGGATGCAACACGGGGCTAACCAAGGTCATTGCGTATTGAGACCCCTCCTCTCCGCTCTGCATAATTTTCTCCATTTCATTTTGTCAGATGTTTATGTGTTTTCCGACTGGGATTGGACCTGTAAGACTCCTCTTGTACAAATATGGGCGATACCAGGCTATGTAGTGCCATAACAACATTTAATATATTTGAAATGTACGCGCTGCGGACGAGTAACTCTATGTTTTCAAGTAGAATCCCGAGCATCTTGCGCTCCAGCTTCTGTCTCCATCTCTGGCTCAATGACGCGCCATCATGTCAGCGACACGCTGTCCATGCAACCGTATCCGGCAGCAACGCCTCCCTCTTGGCTTTCTTCGCCCTTGGTTCTGAGTAACCAGCCCGCCTGTTCATTTCGAATGACTTCTCCCGTCTCTTGGTTCCAAAGACACGTCCCATATACCCCGAGCTCGGAAATCACTCGACCCTTTTCAATGGTTCCATTGCGTAGGATGAAGTTGTTTTCGGCCGGCGCTTTAATAAGCTCCATTAGAATGTACGAATTCCAGTGAGCCTCTGGCACTGTCTTCAAGAACGCAGGAATTGCGTTTCCGTAAATGTTGTTTCCGCCCCCTTCTCTCTGTGGCTTCAAAACATAATCGACGCACTGTTGGGGATCGAGAGCCTTCTTTCGTGCCTCTAAGCCCACATCCGACGTGTCCATGGGGTAAATGTTGGTGAATGTGTTCCATAGGGCAATGGCAGATGGCGTGTCATCCTTGATAAATTTACTGAGGATCGACGGCTCAGATGAAGGCCGAGGAGTTGCAAGAACCTGCTGTACTTTCTTGATGCCGGCTACCTGTGTTAGGACCGTGGGGCACTTGATGGCATGCGAGCGTTCAAGATGACATCTAGCATCCCAGGTTTGCTGATCCGGATAGTCGTCGGGACCGTAGCCGCCCCGCATATAGACAACAGCCACCTCAAAGACCCTGTTCATGTTTCTGGGGAGAGTATAGAGAAGCTGGCGCTTGGGACTGTTGGCAATGGCAGTGTGTTTCATGATGTCTGTGAAGGCTAGCCGGAAGACAGGTATGGTGGGCGACGACTTGGAAATTTGATACTCCAGATGGCGCTGGTCAAAGACGTTGCGCTCGCCGCCTTGGACTAAAAAGATGACGCATTTATCGTGTCCCAGTTCGGAGCCGCCATACGCATGATAAGCCGCCTCGATCCCGCCAGCCAAACCGTCGATAGTGTTGTTTGCGGGAAGATCCAGGGTCCCTGGGGCCAGGGGCTGGCCGAGGAGAGGATACTCGGTTTTTGCCAGAAAGTCATGCAGGTTGGAGGCATGTACGGATAGGCCGCCGAACGATGCAGCAATGGTGTTGAATTCTACCTGTTTTGCTTGAGCCCCGGGCGACTCGCTAGATTTGTCCTCGTGTACCATGTAATCAGATCGGAAGAGACCCAATGAAAGCGGCTTGTCCAGTTAGGAAGGGTTGACAGTCTGGTCAAAATTCTTTTGGCCCGGTTGATGCTTACCTGGGTGTATCCTTCTGACTTGACAGTCTCGTGAACCGCCCACAGATCACGGACAAAGTCGTCGCCATCAACGACCCTAGGCGGGAGGAGTTAGCAATATGTCACCCCGTGAGATGCGTGGTTCGGTGAACTTGCTGCTTCACGACATCTGCCAAGAATTTCTCATCTCTGCTCACGGCAGCATACAACTCGTTGTATGCGTTCTGCGCCTTCTGGCCTTGGAGGAAGGCCTGGCGGGGAAAGGCCGTCGGAAACAGCGTCACGGGTGCGGGCACAGCAGTTATCCTGGTTGGATCTGCTTCCGAAGAAATTACCGCTGGCGGCGTCCGAACCGCGAGACCATTGCCAATCGCCCAGTCCTTGATGACCTCGACGAGGTGGTCGAGCTCTTCCGGAGTTGTTGCTGGCGGATACTGCCGGGATGGTTCGGCGTCATGGCCTGGGCTCATGGTTGGAGGGTAAACGATTGGACTGCAAGATGAGGCAAAAAGACAGTATTATGGATACATGGACACCCAGAGGGCATGGCACTCGAGTCGGGTCTTGAGTTGAAAGCAGTGGCCGGCGAGAGTTGGCGTGTAGTTGAGGGAATGGATTATTAATGGCCTTCTGGGATGCTGGAGTGGGTATCGTGGTATCTGGTGTCCTTGAACACGGCTCAATTCATCGGCGTGTGGGCGGGAACGTGGTGTTTTTCATGGGTAGCTTTGCAACCTTCAAAGTACAAGACTGCACGGACACATAGCTATAGCAGTGATCTGCGAAATGCCTACGGTTTACAAGACTCTACTCCGTACACACGCACCGATCTGACTTGCGGATTGTGAGGATGGATGAGGCATGGTGCGTCGCGCCATTGCAGCACCTATTGGAGCAATGGTCAGAACCTGGATCGGCATCCACACGCCGTTGTCTCTGGTCTGCGGCGCAACAAGGATTTAGACCAAAGTGGCCGTGGCATCAAGGACTTTTGGGAGCTGGAATTGTCAAGTGTGCAAAAATGAAGCTTCACTTGACCAGATGAGAAACACTTCATGGCCGCGCTCCCCCCCCCCCCCCCCTTTCCCTTT